AAAATAGCTACCGGCACCTCCTCGTAGGTGAGGTATCGCTAGACCTGCAGCTCGCCGAAGTCCACCACATGATCAGGATCATGCACATACTTCCGAAGCATCGAGACATGAAACACGTCGTGCACACCCGACAAGTCTGGTGGTAAAGCCAGCCGATACGCTAAGTTCCCTACTCGATCGAAGATCTCGAACGGCCCGATATAGCGAGGTCTAAGTTTCCCTTTCTTCCCGAAGCGAATCATACCTCTCATGGGTGAAACCTTCAAGAAGACTTGATCTCCCACTGCATAAACATGCTCTTGCCTCTCCAAGTCGGCATAGACCTTCTGCCTCTCCTGGGCAGACCTGATAGTCTTTCGGATCTCCTCAACTGTCACTGCAGCACTCTGAACAAAATCCGGACCCGTGATCCTCCTCTCTCCAACTTCATCCCAATACAAAGGAGTTCGGACCTTACGTCCATACAAAGCCTCGTACGGGACCATCTTGATCGAAGAGTGGTAGCTGTTGTTGTAGGTCAGCTCGACTAGCGGAAGGGAATACTTCCAAGCAAGCTTCGGTCCAAGACCACAGCCCTCAATACATCCTCCAAGTACTGGATCACACGCTCCGACTGACCATCTGTCTCGGGGTGGAAGGCTGTACTGAACTCCAACCTCGTCCTCATGGCTCGGTGTAACGTCCTCAAGAACTGGGATATGAACTTGGCATCTCAATCCGAAACAATCTCCACGGGCACCCCATGAATCTTAACAATGTACTTGATGAACAATTCGGCGTAATCACTCGCCTTCATGGTCGTCCGGACTGGCAGAAAATGGGCAGACTTCGTAAGGCGATCCACTATCACCCAAATCGAATCATACCCGCCCCTCGACTTCGGCAGTCCCACTAAGAAATCCATGGTGATGCACTCCCACTTCCACAGGGAAACCTCAAGGGGCTGCAGCAACCCTCTCGGTTTCTGGCGCTCAGCCTTCACTTGCTGACATACCAGGCACCCATCCATGAACTTCGCTACTTGTCTCTTCATGCCTCGCCACCAGAAAGATTTCCTCAGGTCCTGATACATCTTTGTGCTACCAGGATGGATGGTGTACGGGGCACTACGGGCCTCTCTCAAAATCTCTCTTCGCAGTTCCCACACCCTCGGAACACAAAGCCTACCCTCGAAGACCAAGGCCCCATCAGATGCGACTGCGAATCCTCCAACTCAGCTGGCTTCTGACAACTCCCTCATCCGGCATAGGAAACGGTCATTCGGTTGCTCGACGACTATCCTCTCTCGAAGAATCGGTCCCACAACCAAAGAGGCCAACACGCCCCCAGCTGTCGAAGTCGACTCCACTACCTCTAGCTGTAGCCGCTCGAACTCCCGAAGAAGGACATCCTGCCCGGTGAATAGGCAAGACAGCTGGTCGTAACTCCTCCGACTAAGGTCATTGGCTACCACATTAGCTTTCCCAGGGTGGTAGCCAATCGTGCAGTCGTAGTCCTTGACCAGCTCCAACCACCTACGCTGTCTCATGTTCAGCTCCTTCTGAGTGAAAATGTACTTCAGGCTCTTGTGGTCGGTAAAGATCTCACACTTGCCTTCATAGAGTTAGCGCCGCCAAATCTTCAAGGCGTGGACAACTGCAGCTAACTCTAGATCATGAGTGGAGTAGTTCTACTCGTGAGGCTTCAGCTGCCTCGAAGCATAGGCTACGACTCTCCCTTGCTACATGAGAACACAACCCAAGCCCATCTTCGAAGCATCACTATAGATCGTGAACTCCAAAGTAGGGTCGGGTATGGATAGGACGGGCGCGGTAGTGAGTCTCCTCTTCAAATCCTGGAAACTCTCCTCGCATTTCTGACTCCAATCAAACCTCACGGCCTTCTTCGTAAGGTTGGTTAGTGGCTGGGCTATCTTTGAGAAGCCCTCGATAAACCTCCGGTAGTATCCTGCTAACCCCAGGAAACTACGAACATCAGCGGCACTTCTTGGCGTATCTCACTTGCTCACCACCTCGATCTTGCTGGGATCCACCTCAATGCCTCTCGCCGTCACAATGTGGCCAAGTAACGCCACACGGTCTAACCAGAACTCGCATTTCGAGAACTTAGCATACAGCTTCTCGTGGCGAAGAGTCTCCAGCACAATCCTCAGATGCTGCTTGTGCTAGTCGATGCTCCGAGAATAAACCAAGATGTCGTCGATGAACATGATAACAAACTGGTCCAGGAAGGGATGAAAGACCCTATTCATAAGGTACATAAACACGGTCGGGGCATTGCTGAGTCCGAACGGCATGACTACGAACTCATAGTGGCCATAACGGGTACGAAAGAGAGTCTTAGAAATATCCGACTCCCGGATCTTCAGCTGATAATAGCCAGACCGCAAATCGATCTTTGAGAAGATGCTGGCTCCTCTCAGTTGGTCGAAGAGATTCTCAATACGAGGAAGGGGGTACTTGTTCTTGACCGTAAGGGTATTCAGCTCCTGGTAGTCAATACACATACGCATGGATCCGTCTTTCTTCTTCACGAATAGGACGGGTGCACCCCACGGCGAAACACTCGGTCGAATAAAACCGAGTTTGAGCAATTCCTGACTCGAGGCACAGTCCTCGACTTCACCCCAAAGAATACAACTGGCTGATCAAAAACGGGAAAGAGAGTGACTTCGCGCTCCTGGCACCGGATGTCGGCTCGATAGCGGGTGAGCCAGTCCATGCCC